CCACCCACACTTCTTTTTTCTATCTGAGACCAAAAAACAAAAAATATTATGTTAAGTGTATTAGTAAAAAATTAGGCTATGCTGATAGAGTAGCTTTAGTTGACCCCATTGGTCTCGGGGGGCTTAGCTTTATTTTGGGATACTAGAGTTGTAATCCAGCAAGTCCTTTGTAATGAATTTTATATTGCAGTTCAATTTTCTCTTCCCCTCAAAGTCCCTAATGGGGCATTTTTGTATATTTAAGTCCTTGCAGAATCTCAAGAGTTGATCAATGGAACAAGCTTTTGCAAGACAAACTTTTATGGGGCAATTGTTGGTTTGCTATAGGTGATTGGAATGACATCTGCTCAAACTCAGATAAAATTAGGTGGCATTCCTAGAAGTCCAAGCAGCCTCCAACCCTTCAATTCTTTTATCAACCTTATGGAGATGGAGGAAATCAGACTTCAGGGCTATCGCTACACTTGGTGCAACAACAGGGCTGATTTTGAGTTAGTGGAAGAACAAATAGACAAAGCCTTTGGCTCTTTAGATTGGCTTCAAAACTTTCCAAATGCTTCAGTGCACAAGAAAGTGACAAGTTCTTCTGATCATTCTGCCCTCCTGCTGAACATGGGTCTGCCTGGAGAAAGAAAGCATGATAAATTCCATTTTCACAAGAGGTGGATAGGGCAAGAAGGATTTGAAGATACTGTGAAACAAGCCTGGCTCACTTCAGTCACATGAACTCCTTTTTTCAGATTGAAAGAGAAGATCAAACACACAAGGTTGGCTTTGCTCAAATGGAGTTCCACATTTCAGACTCAAAACCAAGCCCTAATTGCAGACCTCACTCAAAAATTGGATATGTTGAACAATGATAAACCAAGAGAGAACTGTGAGAACTGGGAGAACTAGGAATCAACTAAAAGAGCATTAAACAAAGCACACCTCCATGAAGAAATCTATTGGCAACAAAAATCAAGACAAAGATACCTCAAAGAGGGGGATGCCAATACAAGATTTTTTTCATGCATTTACTCTCCAAAGGAGAAGGCAAAATGCTATTACCAGGCTATTTGATTCTCAGGGTAGACTTCTGACTTCTCAAAGAGTCATAGAGCAACATATCTCAGATTTCTACACCAACCTCTTTACTTCAGATGGAAGCAGAGGAGGAGATTCAATTCTTCATTTGATTCCTCAAACTATTACCATTGGTATGAATGAAGCACTGGTGAAAAAAGTTACTGAAGAAGAAGTCAAATCAGCTTTATTCCACCTGCCAACAGATAAAGCCCCAGGAGAAGAAGGGATGACATCAACCTTCTATCAACATTTTTGGGACTTGATCAAATCTGACCTTCTGAGTGCAATCCGAAGCTTTTTTCAACCAGTTATGCTCCTGAAATGCTGGAATCACACGGTCCTTTCTCTGATCCCTAAATGCCATAACCCAGAAACTTTGAGTCAGTTTAGGCCAATAAGCCTATGCACTGTGGTTTACAAAGTCATTTCCAAAGTTTTAGCCCAGAGACTGAAAGCTTGCCTTAAATTTTGCATAAGTGACTTCCAATCTGCCTTTGTTGAGGGAAGGCAATTGATGGACAATGTGATTGTTGCTCATGAAGCATTTCATTTCTTAAATAGGCATTCTTCAGGATCTAATTATTTCATGGCTCTTAAATTGGACTTGATCAAAGCCTTTGATAGAGTTGAATGGAGATGTATTCATGATATTATGCTTCAGATGGGCTTTCACAGAGACTTTGTCAAATGGGTCATGATTTGTATTTCAGCAACATCATTCTCTTTCAAAATTAATGGCACTGTGAGCAGTTATGTCACTCCTTCTCGAGGCATAAGACAAGGGGACCCATTGTCCCCTTACTTATTTATTATAGTGGCTGAACTCCTAACTGCTTTAATTCTGAATTCTATTGAAAGTGGACAGCTCAGAGGTCTAAGACTATCCAGAAATGGTCCTTTGCTCACTGACCTCCTATTTGCAGACGACTCTCTTTTATTCTGCAAAGTTGGCTCTGACCAGGCAGCTATCCTCATGAATTTGCTTGAAAAATATAGACTTTTTACAGGGCAAGCTGTTAACATAAGCAAATCAGCCATATTCTTCAGCAGGACTACTCCTCAGCCACTCCAACAATCTATATGCTCTACTCTCAATGGAATCACCTCCCATAGGTCCACCAGATATTTGGGACTGCCACTTGGAATAGGCAAATCCAAAAAAGAAGTATTTGCGTACCTTCTTCACTCTGTCAGAGGCAAATTACAAAGCTGGAAGTCCAATCTTCTAAGTCCAGCTGGAAAAGAAGTGCTTCTCAAATCAGTTGTTCAAGCTTTGCCTATTTTCACAATGTCATGTTTCAAATTGCCAATTACTCTTTGTACAGAGATCTCACAACTCTGTGCTAATTTCTGGTGGAAATCTAATGACTAGCAGTCCAAAGGAATCCATTGGAGGAAGTGGAGTGTGCTTTCTTTACCAAAAGGGAATGGAGGCTTAGGCTTTTTGGACCTGCAAGTTTTTAATCAAGCCCTCATTTGTAAACAATTATGGAGAATTGCATCAAACCCAGATCTTCTTGTGAGCAGATTACTGAAAGACATGTACTTCCCTCAAACAGCCATCACTCATGCAACTAAATCTCAGAAAGGATCTTGGATGTGGAACTCATAGATGGAGGTGATACCTTTCTTTGCAAAATGGTTGAGGACTAAGGTAAGGAATGGAATGTCTACCAAATTGCAGATCTTAATTGGGTGCGTACTCTTCAGAAACCATCTCCTACTCTTATTCCAATTGCCAGAGATCATCTCATATGGGTTAAAGATCTTCTGAGCTCATGTGGATCTGCTTGGAATGAATGGCTAGTGAGGCAAGTCTTTGACAGCATGACAGTGAAGCTATTCTAAGCATCTCATCCCTTCACCCTGACAGGCCAGATAGACTCTATTGAGGACTTGACAAAAAATGTCAGTTCACTGTATCCAGTGCCTATAAGAAGCTTTGTAGCATCAAACTTGCTCAGCTAGACATTCCTGAGAGTAGCTCCAGTTCTTCTATTTCTAAAGCAGTGCAGTTCAGATTTTGGAAGATTAAGGTGACTGGAAAGCTCAAACACTTCCTTTGGAAGTGCATTGCAGGTACATTACCTGTAGCTAGTTTGCTGAAAAAGAGGAAAATCAACATTGATCATATCTGCTCTCTACGTGGAGAATCATCTGAAACTATTGAACATGCATTGTTGAACTGCCCAAGAGCCAATAGAGTTTGGGAATTATCTCTAGTGCCTTGGGAAGGAATAGCTGACTACAAAGATTCTTTCAAAGCATAGTGGTTCAAGATATGCTCCCTTGATCATTCTGAAGTTGCCGAAGCTAGGATACAACTTTCCACATACATTCTTTGGTGGCTTTGGAAGTCAAGGAACCTGTGGGTATTTCAGACTCCATTATGCCAGCAGCATCAGTGATTAAGATGGCTCATTCTGATTGGATCCACTACATCTCAGTTATTGGTCTGTTGGCTTGATTCTTCTTTTTCTAGTTATTTGTATTTTCTGTTTTTTTATCTTCTTTTGGAGTTCAACTTCCTTTCTAGGCTTTTTAGCAGTAGAATGCAGTTGTACTTGGGATTTTTTGCTGTTTTAGTTGTTCTTGCCTCTTGTTGAGGATCTAGGCCACCTATGGTGTGTCTCTCATTTTTCATTTTTTATTTTCCTTTGTATGCTGAACAATGTATTAGGACTTTGTCCTCGTTGAGTTTTATGATATTATATCTGTCGTTTTGGGGAAAAAAAATAAGATTGAGAGAATATTCTTAAAGAGATCCATAAGTAAATTTGTGTATATCTACTCCTTGATTATGTAAGATTGGAATTGTTGGTGATTAAAGAAACCCCTTTAGTGTGTGAAAGGGCTTCCACTGGGCTCGAATGACCTAGATTTGTTTATTGACCCGTTCAAAGTCCTAGACCTACGAAATAGGTCGAGAGGTGTTCCCAGCGTTAGCACTTCGACAACCACGTCAGTCCACAGTCAAGAAGATGATCAATGGTAGATATGTAAGCTTGTAATTATATTACATTGTTTAGAGTGTAAATAGACATACCTCACCAACTAACACCAAGACCGGCTCATACCACCTCGGCTAGGGTACTTCCATGAAGGTGACGTTGGGTAGCGGAAGGGAGCCGGAAGATATGGTGGAATTCAAAATTCAAAGCATTTTTTTTTTTTTAGTATTTTTATTTATATAATGGAATGAATCCATCAGCTATAGGATTCATACAGTAACTCCTTTATTTAATGATGAGTTTGTAATAGATGTACAAATAAGTTTTTCATTTAATAATTTTTGTAAATATTTAGGAATAAGTTTTTTTTTTTTTTACACACACAGGAGGATTAATACTTGTTTCTCAATTTCCCTCCCAGTGACTCGAACTCGGAATATGGGATATGCCGAGCGAGGTATGCGTCACTGCACTAAATCCTCTTCGTTATATTTAAGAATAAGTTAAGTATGTACGTATGTATGTAAACTACAGTGTAGGTACTACACTTTAGATTGTCCACTAATCAATCATCAGCGCAGAGGATACACAACTGACTGCAACAGCAAATCCTCCAAACCAGTCATCAATATCAAAGGATTCATTGTTCAATTGCCATTACATCATAAACACCTCTTAAAAGGGAAAAATATCGATAATAACACACAACGTGTAAAATATACGCAGGCCGGAAATGCTGTCACGGACAACTATTATGACACTGTTGGGACCATTAAATACTTGTGGAGCCACACCATGATATCTTGCAGACACAACGTACAAAACGATCTCGATCGCGAGTAAACAAGAGATCGACAAAAGGCAAGTAGTCAAATGCAAAATAGAACGGAAGTGATAGGTACGAATATAGATTCGGATCAATTAACATTCATCTTCTTACACAAAACCCAATCTTCTCTCCCCTATTGAATGCCACAAAAGTCAGTCACTGCTTGAACCGTACACACACACTCCAGGACGCATTCCTAAAACTCTGAGCAAAGGCCGCCGATTCTTCCCTTCATAGCCTGACAGAAAGGATATTACATTCTAGCACCAAAATTTAAATTATATGAAAATAAGTAAACAACATACTTACGATGCACTTTTTTTATCCGAATCAACATATGCCTCATCAATTAATAGTGGAAGATTCTGCCAGAGAAGAAAGCATATTGGGTCCGGTCACAGTAACACCGTCATATTCAAAGTGAAATTGACATTTCATTATCACGAATATTAGTGGATAAGATAAACTATATTCCGGATTATTAAAGAACTGGAGGATAATACAAACCTAAATTCCAAATTCAGAATTAACTGACATGATCCCTTTAGCTCCTAAGTCACATATTTACAATGCCTTCCAAACTTTTACGACGAACTACAACAAACTGACATTGTTATAAGGATAAAAAGCTCAGAGTGTTGAAGGAATTTCCGTTAAAAAACAATCTTTGAATACGCGGTCACTAATCTGACTAACAGTTACACCAATACACACAGCAATAATGAATGAATTAGGAGGAATACACACCAGCATCAGCAGAGGCAGGTGGCAGAAATTGTGGGACAATTGCACCAGAATGATTTGAATCTTCATCCACAGCTCTACTTTTCTTGGGAAAACCAATGCAGAAGTTTTTACCAGCGTTCTTTGCAGCCTCCTTCACCTTGTGTTTTCTCCCTTCGAGGTGATCGTCCAGACATCGTTGCCCCGTGCAGTTGATGTTACAAATGTAACAACTCCAATCCTCTTTAGGCTTTTTGCCACTTGACACTTGAGGTGGAAATGACACGGACTTCCTCTTTGATCCCGATTTTTTCTCATCGACCTTGCCCTGGAATAATAGAAACAATGGTCGATCATGTTATAGCTGCCTTATAAATGATGAAAACAGGAAAACACAGAATTCCAAAGCATAAAACCAAGAAAGAATACAGAGAGTATGTTACTAATACTGACCAAACGAATGAGTTTCTTTCCTTCACTGCTATCTCTGCACACAGGCTTAACCTCTGGAATTCTCAAACCACCCGTCCTTCCATGAAAAGGAGGCATTTCAAATCCCAAGCGCACGTGCCTTTCCTTCTTGGACTCGGCCATCAACATCACTCTTTCTTCCAAATGTGAGAGTCTCGCGGGCTGGAACAACTCATTCAGCAGAAAATGGCCACCCATAGCCGGGAACCACCTCCCGACCTCCCTGCTCACCTCAGCTTGAAGGACCCTCTTTCTCGCAATCTCGGAAATGATAATCTCCTCTCTGATTTTTTCCTTCTCCATCTCCATTAGGACTGCCATTTCAAGATCTTGAAAGTTGGATGTAGGGACTGCGTATCGACTCAAAGAGGTAGAGAGTTGACGACGGATTCGCCCTTGGTCTTGTTCCATAGCTGAAAATATTTACATAACACCACAAAGATTCATGCTTTTTCACCAAATAATAAAGGAAGAGAGTGAATCTACCAGAGGCCCTCTCAGAAATTAAACAAGAACGAAAAATAGCAGCAGAAAATGAACTCAAGTCTCTAAATCGCAACACACAATTTATCACATATACACACACACACACAGACACACACAGAGAGAGAGAGAGAGAGAGAGAGAGAGAGAGAGAAGGAGGGATGCGTGCTAACCTCGTTGGTTAATAAGTCTATATCTGTAGTCCATGTTTAGATTCTTGAGATGTCCTGAGAGCAAAGCTTTCCAGAAATTGAGGAACAATTTTTTTCAACAATTTACGCTAGGGTTTCGCGAAATCTTCAGAAACTGAAAATGGGAGGGAAAATTTCAGTGGAGAAGACGATGTATTGATCACGTGAAGCGTGTGTTGGTGTGGTATAAAAATGGAGGACTTTGTTGTATCAGAGCAGATACTCTCTGTTTGCCTCTTCACCGTATTATCATTTATTTGAACAAAAAAAGATTCTACACTTCTGGAAATCTGTATAACACACAAATACAATGTGTTATCAGAATTCATCATGAAGGCAAACATCTTTTCTGACATACATGCTTTTGTTTTTATTTTAATCTATGTGGCTAAAGTTGGTGGCATGAATCAAACTCTCTCCATCTTTTGTATTTATGCTCATAAATGCATACTATGTTGTGCAAACACCTATAAATAATAAAATATAACCGATTCTACAGTCTCGTTATGGAATAATTTCGTCTGGGTTTGTAATCGTTAGACAACTATCCACGACGGTTACGTAATAATCTAATGGCATGACTGGTATAATGGAATGGAATTTCGTATGAATGGAATGATTATGGGAATAGAATGAAACAAGTTTTGTCATTGATGCGTTTGGTATGCAGAAGGAATAAGACATAAATGGAATGACATTATCATTTTTTATTATAAAAATAAATTAAAGCTTTTTTTAAAAAATTAATATATTTTTAATAAATTATATATAAATGCTCTTTTTAATAATATATAAAAATAAAATAATATATTTTAACAATATATAAAATAAAATATTATATTTTTTAATAATATAAAAAATAATATATTTTTAAAAATATATAAAAATAAAATAAAATATTTTTAGATTATAAGTAATATTTTTTTAATATATAAAAAATAATATATTTTTAGTAATATATAAAAATAAAAATTAATATATTTTTAGTAATATTTATTTTTACTTTTTAAGTAAGCAATAAATAAAAATAAGTTTTAAATTTTTTTATTTGAATTTTATTTTAAAATAATATATTTTTAATAATATAGAAAAATAAAAAGTAATAAATTTAATAATATATATTTTTAATAATATATTTTTAAAAGTAATATATTTTTAATCATATTTAAGATAAAATAATATACTTTCAAATTATATATAAATGTTTTTTTAGTTTTATTTTTATATAATTATTTGATATATCTAATTAAACAATAAATGAAAGTAAGTTTTTTATTTTTTATTTGAATTTTATTTTTAAAATAATTTTATTTAATATATTTTAATCATGATATATAATTTATATTATACATTTATTTTTTTTATTATTTTTTAATTTTATTTTTTAAAAAATTAATTCCAACACACATGGGAATGGAAAAATCATCCATGAATTATGGAATGGCTAATCCCATGGAGATGAGTTTTGTCATTTGATATAGCCATACTATCGTATAACGGTTTATACTATCAATGGTCCCGAAATTACCGAGTCGACTTGGCCAAAGTCGACTCTCTCCGCAGATTCCTTATGATATCTCTGATTTGGGGGTCCAGGCACCCCTCGGTCGACTCCTGCGTGTCGACTAGTATAAGTCGATTTCTCTGGAAAGACGGATAAGCATATCAGGGTCTATCGACGATCGAAGATGACCCCTTCGACTCGAGTTGATGAGACCCGAGTCGACTGAGTAAGTCCCGAGGTTCACAAATCCTCAACAATCTGATGAACTTCAATACATCATATGAAAACTGTCAAGGATAAGGAAGAATCTAGATGCTGACTAGGAAGTGGACGGAATACGAACCGACCAGGATGTTTTGGACATTTCCAGTAAGTCGGCCAGGGCATTTTGGGGACTTCAGGTAAATGTTTTACTTCTATATAAAGGAGCTGAGGTAACTCCAAAACCCTAACTCCCATTCATTCAACATTCTTCTCCATTACTGCTGCTGCTCTCTCAGAGCAGCTCTCTTCATCTCTTTCACATACTGACTTGAGCGTCGGAGGCTCTACGCCGGAAACCCATCCGGCGTTGAGTTCTTGCAGGTATTCTCGCGGCTCAGCAACGGTTTGGAGGCTATCGAGTCAGATCTGAGCTCATTCCCATCGGTTCATTCCAGATCTGGGCGGTTTCTCATCGGTTCACTTCAGATCTGAGAGGAGACCCATCA